TTTTGCTTTATCAGCTGCTATCCTGGCCTGTAGCTATCCAAGAGAGGCTTTAGGGTCCACTTCTCAAGCGGAGGTCCGAGTGCTCTGGAAATAGTGCCATATAGCTCCCATCCCAGATAGCTAGGCCTCCTGATAAGTTTTAGCTGACTGAAGTCTCTCTAGCTGCCACTAGAACTTTTAATCCTTCAGGCATGATTCTACATGCCATTTCTTTGTGTTAGCCTGCAAACAGAGAATGCTGCTTGTGTTTCACTTTCAAAAATACTGCCTAAAATTCTCGTTTTTGTTTCTAACCCAAACTATCCTGCTGGTTTAATCGGCGCTAGGAATCAGTCTCCTCCCTAATTTACATGCTTCAAACAAAGGGAAAGAAAGTTAGTAAATAGTTCCCAAAACTGGGATGAAGGCTATGGGGGACAAAAATCCCCTCATTTGTAAAAGCCTCCCAGTGGCTTTTACTGTCTTCTCTAATTGTTATATCTTCTTTTAGGAAGATCACAGCAATCTGGTCTTTTTTTTTTTCCACAGCATCAGTATAATGCCTAGACTCTGAGAGTGTGAGCACATTTTGTGTGTTTGTTACGGTCTCAGAGTATTGTCTGAAGGCACCTGAATAATGCTTGCTAGCATTCCTAGACATCCGTTGCTTACTTGATAAACCCGGTATTGGCCTTACCTTAAAGAATTTTATGTAGCCTTAAATTTTCAGTTTTGTGAAATGGTGTACATATTTTATGCTAACTTAATGCTTCAGACTAGTGTCAGATGGCTGGCCACAGAGGCAAAAATCCTGGTACAATGCAGACAGACATGGTGTAAGCTACCATCATGCAACACCATGCCCTGTTCAAATATCTCAGACAGCACCTGGGAAAGAGCTTGCAGGAGTGATAAGGCATTTAGTATTTATACATTGTCATAGGTGTGCATAGATTAGAACGTCAGAGACCAAAACAGAACAGATGACGGGTTCTTGCCCTGAGGCTTTTACAGTCTAGATGAGACACAAACAACATTCACTCCTTTGGCCACTCAGCCTTTTGCAAGCTGGTGAACTCAGTGACAAGGTCCAAGCCACTTGCGGCATATTTTTGTGGTTGCTACTCCATTGGGAATTAGACTAAGAGCGCCTACTTAGTGAGAACCAGAATACAGTAACATCTTCTAGTCCTTAAAGAGCCACACCAAGTGATCTCTGGGGCAGAAGGCCCAGTCTCCTTGCCCTTTAGCCTTTCCCTTTTGGTTTCTCTGGTAAGCCTTGGAATTGTAAATTCCCCAGGTTTTCTTCCCTTGGCAGACAGCTCTTGCTTTCCTGTGGGTTTCGCAGTAGTCAGACTGCAAAAGAGCCAGAGTTTGTGTTACATGCATAGCATAAATATTCCTCACCCATCCCTGCATGCCTATGAACCCCATATCTTATTTGTACAGATGTGCAGGAATACTTTCCCCATCAACTCATCCTAAAATGCTGTCTGGCCCTCTGATTTAATCTCTGTGCCCCATTATTTGCCATTCAGCAGCTACACCTTAAGATAATGAACAGGCTGGAGCAGTTCTTTTTTAATGCAGTTGAGAACTAGAGGGATGAAAGTTAATTACATGTACTTTTAAAACAGAAGGAATTACTTTCACAGTTATTCACAGCATGATTACACAACATGTAGTCATTCAGGGGAATTCATTGTTATCAGATCGTATAGGAAGCACACAGTAACTAGAATTAGAAACTTGACAGAATACGTTTGACCAACAGCACTGCTAGCTAGCTTAGTAATAAGACAGGGTCTACAGATCTTCTGGCATCAACAGATCACTGCAGGGGTAAGGAAGGAGTTCTACCCTTCCAGTATGCAACATTATCCAACTAGTTTGATGCATCATAGAGGATGATGAGTCTGTTGCCAGTACTGGGTGCCCATGTGCCAACTATTCGACTCAATGGACCAGCGTTTTGAATGACAAATCCTGTAGTCTAGCCTTAGAGAAGCTCAAGTCCTTTGGCAGTTTTCCTTGCTGTGGCTTGCCCTAAATTGGCTTGTCACTCATGCTTGTTAAGTTTCAGGGGTGTTATTCATTGTGGTTTTGCTGCTCTTTTTCAATGTTATCAACCACTGATGTTTCTTGAAAGACAGCACAATTCCCTCCCCTTTTTATTTGTCTTTACAATGTTTCTCTAAAACCAACAAAACCCTCACTTTTGCACTCTAAAAAATCTGCCGCTCCTGCTTTTGTTTCTCTCTGCTAGCCAGTAAAGTTAACACGGTGAACTTGGTTCCAAAGGCAGTTTTTCCAAAGGCTACCTTACCTGCTTTGCTGACATAGTGACTGTATGGCCTTGCTCAGTGCTGGGGACTGTAAGGACCCTCTGCTTTCACTATTTTTCTAATAATTTTGTTACTTTGAAATGTATTATCAACGTTGTCCATCCCTCTATCACTGCAAACAGCATGCCTTTGCTGATCATTGCCTTTGATAATGGAAATGTTATTCATTAATCCAAGTTTATATGCATGTCCCTTTAGCTCATGTGAGAACTTTATGTAAAAAGCTCTGAAGATCCCAAAGGTAGTTCTCTGAGAACATACTGCTACTTATCCCAGACTTGCAAATAAAGTACATGTCAGCAGGAGTGCAGCACTGGAGGGTAACCAGTATCCAGGCCCCAGGACTTTGTAGCTCATTTTCAAATGACACCAAGTAGCATTAGGAAGCCACTATGTTCTCCAAAGAACTGTGTAATATTTACTCCCTGGGCCCATTGTTAAATAAGCATACAGATGTACATAATAGATAACTATAGCAACTACATATACACAAGAGCTGTGAAGCCTCCAAGTAACTAACAGTCTGTCTGCTTCAAGTTCTGTGCATTAGGGTCCATCCTTGGGATCTGTAGAGGATAAACCCTGAGGGTATTCAGCCGTACAAAGGAGAATTTCTTAATTCCATACTGAGCCCCTGGTTTTAGGTGTGTGGGTGAAGGCCTGTGTAGTAGAAGAGCAGCATTCAGCACCGGAGCTGTTTCCCTATTTGAATTAGGTTCCCTGTTGGAGCCTGAAACACTTTTCTGTATTCAGGTGTTTCCTACAACTTTACTAACTCCATCTACAGTCCTCATGTGTTTTCAAGTTAACCTTCCCCATGCTTTGCTCCAATTTTAACTATTAGTGTAAACCCTAGTTAAGGCAGTTTCTAAGATTATGGGACTCCAATTTTTTATTTCCTCTAATTCCATGAATGACAGTAAGTTTACAACCCTACTCTTTTTTTTTTTTTTTTTTATAAATGTGTTCAAATATGTCCCAGTAACCAAGGGCTTATTTTTTTAAAGTGCCAGTAATGTAGGCTTCTAAATAAACCCTGTTAGTTTGCAATTAAATTTAGGTTCTCAAAGGTCTAACATGCTTAGGATTTAAGGGCATTTATAAACATGCTCTGGGAGGCAAGGGGCACTTTAATTAGCAAGCCACAACTAATTAAAAGCATCAAATGTCACATGTATCAGCCTCCCCGCGCTGAAAAAATGGCAGTGGGGTACTTTGAACTGAAGTTCATTCAACAAGCTTTAAAGCACCACGCTGCCATTTTCAGCGCAGGGACGCTGATACATGTAATGGTGGAGGCTGCTGGAGCGCATTAAATTTCCACGCTCCAACATGCTGGATTTACAGCATGTCAGAGCAGCCTCCCTACATGCGTGAAAGTGCTCTAAGATCCGGTCTTATTTTGGTGCTTCTGAAAACATTACCCCAGAACTGCTTTGTCCATTGTAGCTAGTCAGTGTGAATGAAACTATACTTGTTTATAGTATCAGTCACATTTTTTGAAAATCCATTAAGATACCACTGCCAAAATACAGAGCAACGCCTGAAGTTAGGTGGCTATGACATCCTGAGACCGTCAGCTGTTAGGGGTTGGTACTGCTGACTTACTAAGGGATTGTACAGGGCCTGCACTGTAAGAGCCAACCTGATTGTGATGTTGGGGTGCTGCTACAGTACATGTTAAGTAACATCATCTTATTTTTTTATTGATGACAGACCACTTTGTAACCTTCCCACTTCATGATAGGCCCAGGTTGAATCCAAGTCCTGCGGCTACTCTCTTTGCAGTGTTATTAGACCCCCAGCTCTCCTTTCTGTGCATTCCCCATATAGTCTTATACATCCTGTTTAGTACTGCAATCTTTTCTGCAGCCTCCATCAGTGCTTTCCTTGAATCCCGTGGGAGCCAAATTTTTTGGTAGGCATTCTCCCTCCCCAAGCACCACTCAAAATCCTCTTCCTCTGCCAGACTGCTCTTCTGCTTTCTGATCTCTTGATCATTGTGCACCACACAGGCTGCCTGCACCATTTGTGGCACTCCTGCTCTAATCTATACAGAACACACCACCTATGATGATCTTTTAACTCATTTGGAATGAGTAACCTAATTCAACATCTTTTTGCATCCTAGAAAACTGAGCTGGGTTTCAGGAAATAGCTTACTGAAATTCCCTCTAACTGTGGAAATTTACTGCTGCTACCTATTAGTTCCAGATGCTTTTGATTATTTTTAATGAACTTTTACATCCTAATGAAAAAATAATAGGAATGAAAGTCTATGCAAGAAAATTACTTGGATTAAATTAACAAAAATGACTGAATCTCACAACTTGCTTTCCAAGGTAAAATACACCCTTTATTTCACATATTATGTAAATAAGGGTACATTCCTTACAATGCTTTGGCATATGAAGGCTGGGAAACTTGACTGCAATGATAATTATATGCCCAAAGCACAGGAGAGAAAAGTGCTAACTTTTCTTATAATTTCTTGTGGTGGCCTGCTTTCTGCCATGGTTTGGTGCACATCTTATGTGCATGTCAGCATGTGAATTAATTTTGGCAGATTGCATGGCCTTGCTGAGATTTAAAATATCCTTTTCCCTTATTCTAAACACACTACCAACTACTTTCCTCCCCACACCTCAACAGTTGGAATTTCTCTTTTTTTTTCAGAAGCACACTCCATCAGCACAGCACACGTATGACCTCCCAGAACTCTACAGAACTGAAGACTATTTTCCTATGAACTATGCAGGTACAAAACATAAAAATCATTAATGTTTGAATTTAGGAACAGCTTTTAGGAAAAGGTTGCTTGAGGGTTTTTCCATGTCTGATATTCTCTGGATTTGTTCTTATGATTTGTGCACTTTGTCCTACCTTGAATAAAAACCTGAATTCTGTTATGAGCAAAATGTATATTAATATATTGCAATGACAGAGGAAAGTGGACCATAGTTTCATTATACACTTAGTTGGTACACCTTTATGGAAATGGCTCATTTTAAAGAGGAAATTAAACCTTTTAAAACATCATGTGTGGAAATGTAAATACCATTAAGTACATACTTTTCTGAGTTTTGATCACGTTACTTAAGAACAACAGTTTGGTTTATCACTGAAAAAATGTATGAAAACGTGTCACTGTTCACACTGACATTTGGAAACTTATTTATACAAAACACAAAGCTGTAGTGCTATAGCTTGGTAGATTAAAACAATTTCAGATTATCTGTTCACATTAAGTTCTAAAATTGTATTAACACTTACTGCATGCTCTTCCCATACCTGAAACAGCTGTTGCATTATAGATAACAAACAAAAGCCAACATGGCAATTTTGGATATTTGCTAATAATTCTACATGGCCAAAACATTCAGGACTTTTCGTCAAAATAGGATAGGGCTTCAAAAGCCTTCCAAAAGTTGTTTGTATAATGTACTTTGAATCATGTAAATAAACTTTCTGCAAAGCTAAAAAAGACCTTTTGACTGCATTTTTTGAATAGTAGACTTAACCAAGGCCAAAAATGCCAAACTATCTTCCTACGTAATTCTGTAATGTAATTGTTTGGGGAGCTTATGTACATGAATGGTGTACACTAGGAAAAGACTTATATTTAGTCACGAATCTATTAGTCTCTTCTAATAGTTGTGGAAAAATCCCACTATTGCAGTGATGACGGGTAATGTTTTAAGTATCAATCAGAAGTAAGATACCTAACAGCAGAAGTTTGCTCCTTTTTGTAGTCTCATATGAAGTAGCAACTGGCATCAGGTAGACGCACTGAATGCACGCTTTCTATTAAAGTTGTTTTCCTATTTTTGTTTTAGGACAAAGTTCCTTAATAGCAGGATAATTACTGGCAGGTTTTACAAGCTTTAGTCCTGTCACCCTCAGTATTGAGAAGAATTCTTTCTGGAAAGATACCATGTTTTCAGCTGACCGCTCTGAGGTAAATCTTTATGCAGTCTGTCAAATGACTTAACATAAGACAAGTACAGTCTTATGTTCATTGAGCAAATCCTGGTCTTTGGCCTCCACTGAAAAGTGGAAAGTTTCCCAAGATTTAGACCCTTATGTTGAAAAGGGACATCATCAACTTTATTTAACTCTGTACCAAACAGTGTATAGCCTCCAAGTTCTCTACCATTACTTTTAAAAAATCTTATTGTTCTAGTCTTTCTAAGACAACATTTCTCTGCTCCCACAAAATGTATGTAAAGTGGAAAAACCTGAGTCACCATTTATCCTACACCAGGAGGCTGGAATGTGTAGCGTAAAAATCCCTCACAAAAGTAATAATTGTCAACTTCTGATTACAAAGGTCTAAATTCTGGGCCGAAAGCATCTTTACACTCATTAGTCTATGCTTAAGTGGAAAGCTAAGAATTGCAACAAATAGTAACATTAAATTTTGTCTTAAATATAAATGGGGTTGATAGCCTGTTATAAGTTATACCACAATACAGGTATTTTACAAAGGTCATATAAAACATGTTAGGTTTACCTTTAGTGCAGCTTCACTTACAGATTAAAACACTTTAAGGATTAATACAAAGTACCCAAAATAAAAAGAATGTACTGAGGCTGGCAAACGTACATGGTATAAAGAGAAGAAACATTAATTAGCCGAGGAAATAAAAAGTTTAGATAAAACTGCTAATTCCTTCCTTTTGGGGGAAGGAAAAAGGACGTTCTAGTTAAGGGCAACAAATTTTCATCCAAACAACACTTAGCGGGAGAGGGGTTTAAAAACTAACTTTGTAGCGTCTCCAATACCTTTTTTTTTTTTTTAAATCTTGCATCATTACAATTTAATGTCTCCTAAAATACCTTTAAAATCCTAAAAGAAAGTTACATACTTACATGAGCACAGGACTCTCTCTAATATTCATGTGCAAAAGTGCTGGTTTATTTCATTACCGAGTCTAAAAATCCCATCAAAATCACAAGGAGTGTTCAGTTGTACTGACTTGCAAATTATACAAGGCTCATCTCATCACATTGTGTATTTGTAGAAGTTAGCATACTACATAACAACACACTTTCCTCAACTAGTTCTTAAATTACTAGCATCTCTGATTGTCTATATTTGGACAAAAGTAGCTTCTGATTTTCAAGCAGGCTGTTGTTAAATTGACTCTTTGGAGAAGTTTTAAAAATGAGTGTCTCATCTCCTCTAATACAAATAAATTTAAGGGAGCTTCATCGGCGGACCGAGGAATTCCTACAGCTGTCTTCTTTCCTCACTAGAAGGTCGAGTAGGCAGAATTCACTTTCTAGTATCAGGCACCCAGATGGTTGCTGTGTGCACACAGCTGTCATGCTACTAACATTCTGCTCTAGAGTGCATATACAAATACATGTGCTATCACAGTGTAACCCCAGTAGGATTTCCAACTTTTAACACAGGTTTTGAGTGGTTTCTCTAGTTTTGCTAGTCCACTCTTTCTTCTGCTTCTGAAAGTAGAGTAAGAATTTGTAAAGATCAAGGGAGGCTATTCTCTCAATTGGATTACAGAACTGTCCTAGTCTAAAATAACATCTAAGTACCAAAGGAGTGTCTTAAAGTCTCTCTCCAAGTTAAAACAAAGAAAGATTTTCCTTTTAAAAAGTAGAAACATTTTTAGAGAAGGAGGTTTAATCTAATCGCTATGTAAAACTAACTACCATTACCATGGACGTTCCTGCAAGTAGAGCAATTCTAAATATTTCTAATTTACACTCATATCATTGGCTCATTAGAAATACCAACTCGGATAGATGCAGCTTCAAATTTTCTTTAGATCTTGTTAGCTATAATTATGTCAATTATTATATAGGCATCAGCTTACAACAAACCATAAATGATTAGCTTGTAAAACAGTATCTCGACTAAGCACTAGGAAACATTTTAAAAGTGTGCTAAAGGACAATTTCAGAAATAATAAAATATTTTATTTTCAGCCACGTGTGTGTTACAGGCTTCCACCACCAACACAAGTCTGTCTGTACTACCATTAAAAAGTGTTCTAAAAGAGCTGAACATGAAACGTAAAAGGCACCGTCAGCTTGATTTGTTTATAATTATATTTTTAAGTTATTTTAAGCCTTTTAAGCCCTAGTATAGGTTGACAAGTCATTTCACTATATAAGAAACTATAAATAAAAGAAATAAGATTCTTACTTTTTCCCTAATAAAGTTTTCTGACAAATACAATCAGTAGTCTACAATGGAAAAAAAGCCATGAACAAATAAGTATAGAAGAAGCAAAACTCAACTCATGTTTTTAAGAACCACCTCCTTCCAAAGTTTTATTGACTACGTTTTACCTGTTTCTGGGACAAGTACATAATGTGCTGTTGTAGGTAGTAGCCAGCAACTTTTCAGTCAGCCAAATATGGGTTCATTTATTTCTGGTGAAATAGTTACAATCAGCGGGCAAAAATACCCATCAGGATCATGGGTTGTTTTTCTTATATTTCTCTTTAATGTAACAGTTATTTCACACTTTAAAAATGCATGGTTTGAAATTTATCCATGCAGACATTTATTTTTCTCCTAAATGAAAAATATTTTAGGGCAAATGGAGCTGGCAACAACAAATACACATACCAGTATTTTTTCCAATGTGCAAAGAAATTCAGATACCCAGTAAGACCCTAAGCAGACACCTGTCCATTGCTGCAGCAGGAAATCTCATTCTGAAAAGGTAAGAGACCAGTGGCACTGAAAACTGAACAATGGGCATAATATATTTTAATATAGGGCATATTAATACTTTGAGGTCTTTGGGCTTACTTGGCATACTCACTTCCATAGCACTTAAGAGCATTTTCTTAGTTCACTGTTAATAATAGTGAACATTTTGCTCCAGATACTTTCAAGCTTTAAAACCATGTGACAATGTTAAGAAACTGGTTAACTGACCAAAAGCAAATGTCTGCCCTAGTTGCACTATCAGGAACTGCTTCACTATAGATTAAACAAGTTAATGAAGCAGGGGCAACTTCTTTCCAGACACAATTTACCAAATCCTAAACAACTTTCACCTGTTTAACTGTCACCAGTACAGTGCATACTACTCTTTTCACACATGCTTCTGGCTTGATAGAAAATTGAATGAATACATTAAAATCCTGAAAAGCTAAAGGACATTAAAAGCCCCAGTACCATATGGGATGTCATTTTATTTGCGCTTATGTAAATCTCACTTGTATTTTAGATTTCTCTACAATAGAAGATCACACAACTAAAATCACAGAACAGGGGACAAACATTTCATAGTGTTTCTGCCACAGTACTCAAGACCTATGTAATCCTGTCAAATCAAATTTAAAGCTAACTGTGCCACATATATATAATTTTTTTTTGGGCGGGGGGTATGGAATACTACCTAGCTCTTAAAATAGTTTTAAAGTAATCACCATCTTTCCTACAACTCAGAGAGAGACAAAAGAATCTATAAAGGGAAGGGCTGGTATACTGTTGTAGCTATGATGGTCCAGAAAGCATAGGAAAGGCAAGGGTTTTTTGGCAGTATCTTTTATTGGACCAAGTGTATACCAACTAGATATAGTAGTTCCAATAAAACATAAAAAAAACCCCTCTCTCTCTCTATGCAGGAAAATAATATTTAAAATATAGTTTATCTTCACTGATTACAAAATAATGAAAAAAAAAATCTAATTCCAGTTGTGTTAGAAGATTCTGCTCTTCCTGATTTTGGAACTATAGAAGTACCATAAATCCGAGCACATGCCACTATTCTAGTAACAAATAATGCATAAAGATGAAAACTTTGAACTTCTTTGTTTAACATGAACTTGGGCAGGGGGAGGGGCTTCTAAAAATTCTAAAGAATTTGGTAAATCTGGAACAGCCCCACAAACTTGCCAGAGCACAACTTCAGAACTTCTTTCAAAAGGGGTTGATGAAATAAAGCACATTTTAAAAGAAGCTATTACATGGCATTTGTAATAAAGCAAGTATTTACATTAAGCACAATACAGCAATTTATTTAGATGCTTAAATGAAGAATACAAAGGGAAATAAAGATCACAAAATTATACATACTACAACAGTGTGTCATATATTAGATGGTATAAATGAATACAACGCCTTGTTGGTGTTAACTAAAGATAAAACTAAATATTCAAAATGCAGCACTTTTTTCCTGTATGCTGCTTCAACACAATACACTTTTATACAGATCTAAAAGGTGTCAAAATTAGTAGCTGCAAACTTGTTTCTTGCATGTGATTTTTCTTTTTTAGCTTAAAAGATTTCAGAAAATGGCTCTGAAATACATTTGTCATCAGTTGTAATGTCAAGGATATTCAGAACAAGAAAATTCTATAATACAATAGAGTCCAGATATAATTTTTATGTTGCTGGCCTCTGTTTTGAGATTGTACAAGGTTATGTGCAAAAACTAAGTTTGTCAAAATCCATACTATAGCAGTTTCAAGCTCTTGCTAGGTAAACTAGATACAGCATTTATTACACAGCAGGGCAACACTAAAAAAGAGAAACAAATCTATGATGGGTACACAAGAACAATTTCATAAGCTTCACTGGAATAGGTCTAAAAGACTGTACAAATATACATTTCAACTATTCAGAATGATACATGAAAAAAATCAATTTCCCCATAGTCTACTATACACATTGAACTGGTAGCTCATATGTTGGCCCTATACTACCATGTGAAAAAGGGTAATGTTTAAAAAGACATACAACTGAACATGTACAAGAGTGAAATAAACATTGAAAATGCAGATAAAATAAACCTCTGCTTTTCTTTGTGTGCATTCTGGAGCCACCAGCTTATCTGTTTTCACATTAAGTTACTGTGCTCATCACAGCAGGTATTATCAAGCAAATTAGCCAACAGCGCACTTAAATAACCACTGGAATAATAGTGGCCACATCAACCACTCACCAGATGACCTAGCACTCAAAAGGCAGTACCAGTTAGAATTAAGCTTACTGAAATTAAGCATTCAGTCATACTGAAATGAAAGTGTTTAGACAGTTGTAGATTGGATCATACTACTGATGCTTCCAAATCAAGCAGTTCATGCTTGCTGACTACTCAGCTCTACACCAGTTAAGCTGCTATGCATTGGTTCTGCTACACCATCAGTCACATTGTCAAACTGATCTCCATCTTCACTGTCAATTGTGCTATTCTGCCATTCCATCTGCTGATTTGATAAGCTCTCCTCAATTTCCGATGCATTTTTCCACTGCGACTGGTCCTTAGACCAAAACTCTTCTACTTTTCCATAGGAACTATTCTTCCACTTTGACTGTTCTTCATCACTTTCAGATGCAATCCCCTTCGTTTCTGCAGTAGGCTTACTACTACCAGCATCTTCACTTTGGGATGATTCATCTGTCCAGGCTTCCGGTTTCACCTCTGACGTATTATCTTCGAAGTCAGAAACCTGCTGAGAACCAGGTCCGCTTTCAGACTGTGAAGCTCCATCTTTCCATTCAACAGCATCATCTTGATCACTATCTGAAGCATCACCTACTAGCTTTGTTGGTTCCTCAGCAGAATGAATTTCTTCATATTTTAAACCTTCCTCCTGTTTCTTATCTGATTTTTCTGGAGATAGCAAAGTATTTTCCTCAGCAGTCTCCTTTGATATGCTGTCTTCCACGTTCTCTACTATACTATCAACAGAGGTTTTTTTAACAACATCAGAAATGCGTTGACCAAACGGACTATTGCTTTCATTGTATTCCTCCTCTATATTCTCATAACTGTCTGAAGAACTTTCATCATCTTTTTCTAAGTTTATCTTTTTATCGATCGTTTTACTAGCGTTGACTCTGGAGTTCTTTTCATCGTGGTTTTCAAACAGCCATTCAGCATCAAAATCCATTTCATGCTTAACTTTGTTTAATTCTTTCATGTTGAAACCAAGCAGCACACCAGGTTTGTACTTTTCACAATCTCTAACACATTTCTTTCTTTTGTTGCTGAAGTGTGAAGCAATATCAGATTTCCATAGCCACAAACTGGCAGCCAACTTTTCAATTTCTCTCCTACTGGGATATGGTTGCTTATTGAAATATTTTGTAAGAAATGTTTTTCTGGCTTCATAAGAATCATCTTCATGACCCTTGGGGTCTAAAGCTAAAACTACAGGTTCTTCAGGCTTTTCCTCAAAGGCAGATGGTGAGTCATCATCATCTATTTTTCTTTTCTTCATGAGAGAGAATTCCGTATGTTCATAAGTACGTTTCACAGGTGCTACAGCTGGAGACTGATTTAGCCGAGAGGGTGCATTCGATTTGTCTTGACCATTTTGTGTCTTCCCAACACCTCTGCAGTGTACAAGGTGCAGTGTTATAGTTGAGGCAGTCATGTTACTGGTGTATACACCAAGGCAATGAATGCATTTGTATGTTAGCTTTTTTTCAACTGGATGAACTGTTTGAATAACCTGATGCCTCTCCCTTAAGTGATGTGCTAGTGCATCAGAAATGGGTCCTTTTAGGATTGAAAAGCATAGCGGACAGAGTGTTTTACCAACATCTTTTTTGTAGGGAACTGCTGCTTGAGGAGAACTTTTTACAGGTACATCCGATTTCTCCTGGATTTTTGGCTGGGGTTTTGGAGGAACAATAGGCGTATTTTGCGCGTGGTAAGCTACAGATTCAGCAGGGGCATCTCTTAGATTGTAGGTGGTTACAAGAAGATGTATATTAGTGTGACTACCTTGCTGCAACGTCAAATCAAAGGTTAAAGTGGAATCTGTTTTAGGTCCCATTTCTTCGTCAACATGAACCATTCGCATATGAGCAGCCATCTTTTCAACGTCATTGAAGGTTGAACGGCAGTACGGACAAGACAGACCATGGATAAGCATGTGATTAAGCAATGTATCAGTAGGTAAATAGCGATTACAGTATAGACACTTGCTAGTGAAATTGTGAATTTTCATTATATAGTTAGCTACTGCAGGCACCTTTTCAGCCTTGTGCTCCTTTTCAAAGTGAACACTGTACACGTTTTCAGGAAACAGCTCGTTACAGATTGTACAAATTTTCCACTTTTGTGTTGAGGAAGTATTGACAGCAGAAGGGCCTGTGGCAGCTACAGGAGACTTTGAGCCAGACTGACCTAATACTCTTGACGCTGCCTGGGACTGAGATAATGATGTCTGCTTCAGCTGAGCTGATGAAAGAGAGGACGAGTTGGCAGACTGAAGAGAGTACCTTGCTGGGGCTTGTGATCTCTGCTCCCCTCCAAGGGTGTAAGGCCTTCCATTTCCACTTGGTGAAAACTGTTTCATTGTTTGGGACTGTTGTGGAATAGAAACTGGTGCATTGCCACTTAAGTTTAGCCTTCCCCCTGGCTGCCCAACATAACTTGGTGGTACTGATTTGACTCCATAATTATTCTGCTGTAGATGAACATTTGACATCATATTTACTCCTGCAGAATTTAACGTAGGCTTTGGTATAGTGAGTCGGTTCATCATCTGCTGTGATGAAAGCGATCGGACATTTCCAGGAGAAAGAGGACCCATCCTTTGAGAAAGTCCCATAGACTTTTTATCCTGTGGTTTTGGAGCTATTAGCATCAAAGGTTTGGATCTGGGAACCACTACATTAGTATGCCCTATCATTGCCGTTACCTGATATCCTATACGTTCATGGTCTTCAATAACATGCTGTACTAAAGCTTCGTATGACTTGGGCATAAAAAGGCATCGTTTGCAGTGAATACTACCCTCCTCTCGGGTACTGGAACTTAACGGAACCGCACCATTGAGTGACTTTTCACCTGCCTTTGCTATGTAAGGAGCAGCAACGTGCTGAAAATGTTCCCTGTAAATGTGCTTTCTAACTATTTCATACAGAGGATCTCGGTAAGTGCACTTCTTACAGTAATAAACAGCTTGTTCTACACTGTCAGCCTGCTTAGGTTTAAGGCTATCATGTTTGTTTTTATCTTTAAAAGTGCTTATGCCTCCACTTGGTGTATTGGCATTTGGAGCATGAAATATTTTGATGTGCGTTTCCAAAGTCTTTTTGTCTGCATTGAAAGTACAGTAAGGACAATTGAGAAGAATCCTATTTTCAAAGTCTTCACTATGAACATTCCGGAAGTGGCTTTTGTAGGCTGAAAAGAACTTCGAGGAAAATGGACATGCACTGCAGCAAAAGGGTTTTGTCCGATAGTCCTTAAAACAAAGAATAAAACAAAAACGAGTATCAAAAAGCAGGATTTTTTTTTTTTTAAGAAATTCTTTTCCCTAAACAAATTTTGACAACTCTGAATCAGTTCATCCTACATACTGAGTTTTGAAACCAGCTTCTACTCTGCCAGTGATTTATAACATTCATTTTCCTTGACCTCCAAATCAGGTAAGCAGAAGTTTAATTACCAGATTGAACACACAAATAAAGGATGCCAATTTAGCAGTCCCCTTGAAAGTTCAGTCTAGGGATATTGATAGATAATGCATAACTGTCCGCTTCTCTGTAAGATGATGGAAACTACATTTCCAGTCAGATTTCATGGAAGAGAGTTTCCTGGATTCATCTTTGAAAAAAGGTGGGTTTGACTATTTGAAATGGCTGTAAAGCCAAAACACTTCAGATCAAAATATAAGATATTTCAATGTGTTTTAATCCATTAGAATGTTTTTTCTTTTAAAGATGTTGCTCCTTAAGTCTCTTTCAGTTGTGTCAATTTGTGCCTTCCAGTTTTATTGCCACTCAAACCTTACAGCTTTGCTCTATATTTGCTTATTTCTGAAAATGGAGCAAAAACTAAAACATTGCTGGAACCAACAAACAAGACACAGAAGTAGGTAACAGTTGTCTGCTTTGATATGAAAACACAAGCAGTTCTGTTCCTGAATCAGTTTGCTCCCAGCCAGACTAAAGCATCATTCATAAGGACACCATTCAATCAAACCAAGTAACACAGGAGTTGGGGATGTGCATGCAAACTAGAGTGAAGTAGTTATACTTACCAAATTTGGCAAAAGGCAGAAGAAATATTCTCCATGCAACATAAATAAAACCCTTCGGGGTATGATTTAATTGCAATGTTTTAAATTAAATATAATCCTACCAGTTGTCATATTTAAGAAAAGTAGAACTTCAAGCAGAACTTTCCTCCAATCAAAGCAGAATTAAGGCTTTTTCAATACATCTTGGATCAGGGAAAAAAATAAGGCATTTGAAAAACGTGTTTTCTTATAGCTCTTTGCTCTCCCTGAATTCTGGCTCCTTTGAAAGGGCTGCTGATGTGATGGTTGCAATTCAAAATGAAGTTAAGTTATAGGTTAATGCTGATGTCTAAAGTCAGCCTAACTTCAAAATTTTACTTAACTTAAAACATGACAAATTTAGATAGCTTGAAGACATGTAGCTATGCAAACAAGTCTCATGTTTCAAGGTGCAAGTGGATCGCCTGAAGCTACATTCTCCCTCTGCATAATTGAACAGATAATTTTGGCCACCTTCTGAAGACCATTTCCAGAAACAGAATCCAAAACACACAACTATCTAAGCAAAAGTTCTAGATTTTGATATAACAAATCCTATTTTCAAATGCACTAAAATTAGAGAGCACACAGTAATGTTTTCAAGGGCACAATAACAAAGGAACTTCAGTTTTAAAAATACTAGACCAGTGGCCCATCATAATATTGCATCCCATACTGAATGGTGAGGAATACCAAACATTGACACCAAATGATGGCTTTTTTTTAAATCAATAGATTTCTCACTTTGTCACTGTTTCACTATTATACACTATCCTTTCAGCGAAGGCTATCATACAGAAATGTGGTGCTCCTTCACAGCTGCTTGATCAGTAGAGTAAGACAATATTCACCATCTCAGCTTCAATCCCTTCCTCAGTTTCTCAGAGATCAGTTCAAACCTCCTTTAGTTTTTACAGTCAAGCATCCAAAAAAAAAAAAAGGTGAAACTTCCAGCAACAGCATCACTCCATTCTGCTGCATGTACTTGTGCACACCTAAACTAAACAGGCTCAGACAGCCCCTAGATGTGGCAGACAGCTGAAAATTAACAGTGGAGAAAGCAGCACTTACATTTGTTCTGCTTCATGATTTTAGAAAAATGTGAAGCGGGTGGTGGAAGTAAACTAGGAAAAGGTAAAGAAACGCATAGAAATTGCATAGTTATCTTTTAACTTAGAGGTAGCGAGGGTGTGCTGACTTGGAAGACAGGGATGAAAAACATTTTAGGCAAGTGACACTTAAGGCTGCAATGATCAATCGGGTGTTTTAAAGTTTCTCAACAGTTTTTTTACAGGAATAACTACATGGGCATCAGTGCCTGGTTATTTCAATCAAGATCACAAACTGCTACTTGGAGAACAAAAGCACCTTTTGCATTATCCATTAAATAGAAGATTACAAAAGCTGCTGATGAATGTAGTAAGAACACAAGAAAAGCAGTGGGTATTTATAAAACCTCCATTTGAAATTAACCACCTTCAGGACCTCATGCAGTTACTTGAAGCTGTTACTAACCTGATTTTTTGTAAGCGATGGGTCCCACAATCCTACATCTTCCCATGTAGTGTTTTTCAAATAAAAGTCATTAGGTTCAAACTGCTTAAAATCCTAGAAGAGGGGAAGATGGAAAAAAACCCAGAGAATCAAAAAACAAAGACCCAAAAGGTTTCCCAGTATTTGTTCATGAACACACCACGCAGTCCTCTGTTAACCAAAAACTAACTAAAAATTAACCCAAAGAAACCTCTCCCCTCTCAAGAAAGCATCTGACATGTTTTATTTCAACTACAATTTTCCTTCACAAAATGAAGCTGTTCCTGAGGAATCTTATGTTTCAGACACATAACTCTCAAAATCAGAAGATGTGGACAGGCTCAGTGAGAAGAAATAAGCTGAGGTCAGAATTTTCAAAAGTGCTAAGCACTAGGCCTGCGTGAAGCGGAAAGTATTTGAATCGGCTGAATCCAAAGATATTCAGCACCGAATCTTATTTGGCCACAGACTATACAGGCAGGCAGTGCCGGCAGGAGGAGCCGGATGAACCCCAGCTTGAGCCAGCAGCCCTGGGAGAAGTCATTGCTCCCCCAGCTGCCACCAGGGCAAGGCAGGCAGTGCTGGCAGCCCTGGGAGAAGCTGCAGGGGCTGGGGGGAATAGTGTGGTTAGGGTTAGGGGGGAGGAGGAGGGGCAGCTGGGGAAGTTGGATGAGTCGCAGCTTCTCTCAGGGCTGCCAGCTCAAGCAGGGGCTTGTCCTGCTGCTCCCGCCAACACTGCCTAGTGCCGGCCCGTACAGTTTACGACTGAATCTCTGAATCTCTCTGGAGGCTTCTGATTCGATTTGGAGAGATTAATGGGTCTCCCAATTCAATTCAGAGATTTGGCTGCTGAATCGGGCAAATCTCCTCCGAATTGAATTGGCTACCATAGCTTTGCACAGCCCTACTAAGCACATAGAAGCTAATGTGGTCAGTCAGTGACAACTCTTGAATGCTCAAAATTATTAAGGCCACTTTTGTAATTCAAATAAGGACCCTGGCTTCTAATTTTATAAAGCCTTGGTACAAAAATTACATGACACTTTTAAAAGTTCCGAAACAACTTCATAACCAAAGGGCGTGTGAAATTTTCAAGAGGCCCAACTACCAAAAGCACCTCAGGGAAGGGTGGGGAGAGGGAAGAAGAAAAAAAATAAAGCAATAGCACTTAGGAGCTGAAATCCCGAATTCAAAATAGACTGAGTTAGTCACTTAGGCTGCTGACAGACATGGGAAAACAGAACAAAACAAAAAACCATGCTTTACTGAAAGAAGCAGTGCATTAGTTTGACATGGCTCTGCAGCATCTGTATAGACTGGATGCTTCAGCAGGGCGAGTTGGTGCTTAGATCTAAAGCTGATTCAATCAGCTATTAGATAAAAATGCCAAAAAAGCACCATTAATGCATTTGATCTATACAGACATTGGGTGAGCTGGATCCAACTAATGGACTGCCTCTTCTGGGCATGCGCTGGGCTTGGTGCAGGAGCGTGCCAAGTTTAAAGTAAAATGCCGGGGGGGGGTGGGGGGGGGGTGTCGGTGTAAAAAAAGAGTGGGGGGGGGGGGGGGGGAGAGGTGTTACATCTGCAAGTAGCCTTAGAGATTTTATCACCTACTGAGTATGCCCAGCTCCAGGTAAAAAGGGGAAGATACCAGCATAGTTTGGAGTGATCTTGAACACACTGAAAGTCAGAAGCTAGTGGCTAAAACAAACTACAGCAGGCTTTGATGCATAAAGGTCTGTGAAGTGCTGAAGAGACAGCAGTGGAATTGTGACAGTATAGGGGTAAACACCCCTGAAAGCGTAACTTTCTCAATAACAGAGTAACACAGGATCAGTCACTGGGAGTCCAACTTGTATAGCTACTGATTCAATCCCTTAACTTAGCGACCTAATGTTCTGCACTGACAAAATACCTAGTTAAAACGTCAATTCATTTCCTGTCCCTTAGGTCCAAGACTAATAATTTGTCTCTGCTTGGATTTCAAGTCTGATGCTAGCACAATGGATAGCGCCAACTAATAAGTTTTAAGAATCCAATGTAGACAGCCTGACTTTAAACACATGCCAAACTAGTCAAGTTAAAAATCTAGGCAGCGAGACTTGTCTACACAACATTTTTTAAATGTGTTTGTGAACATATTAGCTCATATTACACCTTTAAATCCTACTTTAGGTAAGGTTTACAATGCTGCGAAAGCAGGATTGCTTAACTCCTAGTAATCAGAAAGTCTTTTGTAAATGGCAGCGAGCCCTTAACACTCTCATCCAAGTTGCTCTCAGCTGGAAAGCAGAAGACAGGGATAAAGTGAGCAGGTCAAACAATGTACTCAGGAACTCTAGGAAGCAAAATCAAGAGGTCCAGAAAACGTAGTAAGAACTTTTGTAATTGGAAGAAAAATACTGAGCACTCTCAAATTGAAGAATACCACACATACCAGCAAGAGATTTTAGTCCCTCCAATTCAAAGCACTTTGGTTCCGATCGGAACGCTAGGTTAGGTGTCATACTTACTTCTATATGTTCTTTACAGTATTCCAAACCAATGTCACTAAGTATTTTTTTCACAGTTTTCCGGGCCTTTCTTAAACTGCCAAGGTTGTTGACAGGAAGTTGGAACATAGTTTCTAGTGAAAAGAAAAGCAAGCAGGGAAAAAGTTTAAGTCAAAAGATGTTTTGTTTCATGAAGAGTTATACTTTTAATTTTCTTATGCGTCACCTGCTTTACCAAACATAAGAGATGTCAACATTTATTAAGAAAAAAATAGCATATTTTTCTGTCATGTCCTTAAATTGAAGTCACCTGTAAAGCAAGATGTTGTCAAATGAGCATATCAAGATGAGACTGGATGTAATGGGTATTGGAGAAGTAACCCAAAAATCACCTGGGGACTATTTTGTAAAATTCATTTCTACTAAGGATCAGAATTTATCCATTAAATTAAAATGCTCACAAGAGTCAGTTTACTCCTTTCCGCATATGGAATTTAGCTCATCTGAAAATGTTTGCATTTTGTAGGAAACATCTTTATTAAATCAAACTATAGTATTTTTAGTTCATCAGGGGTTGCCCACCTTGTACTTTTAGGCAGCATTACTTTTTTAAACTTTAAAGAAGTCCATCACAGCACCACTGTGCCAATGGAAACTTTCTTGGGCATACTCCATCATAGGGAGGTCTCTGGTGTTGAAATGGGATTCTGGAGAGGACTTCAGTTAACAATGCCCAGGTGATCAATAGTACTTCTTTTCTAAGCTTTTTTTTTTTTTAAGTATGATTTGACTGAGTGGCTGACAAGCACCTAAATATGTGACTAAATATTTTAGTCCTCATTAAATTGTGAGCTGGAAACTTTACCAAGAACCCTTCCAAGGTCTTAGTTTTTCTTTCAACTGTTAAATACTGCAATAAACATCTACAGTCATTAGACTGTATATCTGACAGGAACCCTACATTCAACTCTTTGCTTTACCTATAAAGGAGAAGCTACCTGTAAAATAATTCCAACTCCATAGTTTGTTACCGATGAAGGATGTGAATTGTAATAAAATTAACATTTCCATTGTAATGGATAGATATAGACTTAAGTCAGTTTATATCAATTTCCCCTGGCCTAAGAGTAAAAATTGGTCCTCTCAACTTGGAGATTTGTTGTTACACTTGTAATATAGCAACTGCTTGTTACACTAAACATGAACAATGGGCATTTACACTAAAGGATACAGGTGAAGGTGTAAGAATTTGAATTTTTTCCCCCAGAATTTGGAGACATTAGGGCTATTTTTCTTTTGTAAAAGGGAAGGGATTTCACATAAGTAGCAAGGACTTGTCAGAAGTGAGCCTTAGCTTTGTTATATCCATTTATATGCATTTTAATACTTGCTAAAATCTCTATGCAAGTGTTATCTCTTGAATTCAGAATGGTAAACAGCTGGTAAATCTGCAAGCACTATTTTGTCATTTATTTGAAAAGAATATTAAAGAGGAGAGAATTTTTAAAGATCAATAACCATTTCTGCAATTTACAAAAAATTTACTGTGAAATATTCTTAAAACCCAAGGAATACAAATTTTGATTATAAAACTGAGTACTTAACTTTTTAATTATAGCTGCCCCTCTCACATGCCCCCCCATGAGTGTTCTTTCTACTATCTGGCTTCTTTTGACTATCTACATACTTGTCTAGCAACAGTAAATACCAGGAACCTCTTCTGAAAAGTCAGGGCTCCAGACAACCACTGCTATCTATGCTTCCCACCATTAACAGCATTAGAGCTGAACTCGGCGTTAACACTGGTGGAAAGGTTTTCAGAAAATATACCTAGCACAGAAAGGGTTTTTGAGTATAACAGTAGTAATAAAAACCTCAGAAACCAATTTTATAAATTATGAACATAACTGGCAGCAAGGTCTTTCAGGCAGCAATCCCCTCATCTTAATGCTTTCAAAGTAACACTCCCAGGTAAGACTGAGTTGTCACACTATGGTTAAGGTTGCTATTGCTATTATAGACTAGGTCAGGGGTGGGAAATTATTTGGGCGCGTGGGCCACATAGCCAGTTGTGGAGAGCTGCTACACACTGGTCAGCATTGCCCCAGCCCTGACCTCAGCACCAGCCTGCTCTGGACTTGCCCTGGCCAGAGCAGACCAGCCAGAACCTGTGCACGCAGATACAACCCTGGCCCACCCCATGCCTGCTCCAGATCACCCACACACGGAGATCAGCAGCCAGGCAGACATTGCTGCTTGGTGTAGGGGAAAAGCACCCTCTCCCCCTCACCGCTGCCAGGCCTGTCTTGCTGCAGTCACCCAGAGCTCAGTGCCCGGGCTACCCTGTGGCTCCTCTCTGCTCCCATGACCACTGCTTCCAGGCCCCCGCACAGGGCAGTGGTGGCAGTGCAGAGGAGCTGCAGGGCAGCCCAGGTACAGGCCCCGGGCAGCTGCAGCAAGAGGCCCAGCAGTGGTGAGGGAAAGGGGCTACTTTTCCCTTGTGCCCAGCAGCAGCCTGGATGCTGCCCAGTGTGGGTGGGCAACTGTGGAGCAGGTGCAGGGTGGGCCACGGTCAGGTCTGCGTGTGCAGGTCCCCACTAGTACCACGGGGCTGGGGGCAGCAGCTGGAAGGAACTGCCACTGTCTGGGCTGCCTAGAAAGGTGGTCCAGCTACGGAGTCACCCCAGCCTCAGTGTGCGCCCAGGGGGTGGCAGGACATGCCATGGGCTGGACAGCACCTGGCCCAGGTGGGACTGCCAAAGGCTGGACAAAGCCCCTCTGTGGGCCGAAGTTGACCCGCAGGCTATATTTCGCCCACCCCTGGGCTAGCTGATGATCTAATTCAATTAATATACATCTCTGATAATTTTTTTCAAACGATCAAAATTATTTAGGTGCTTAAATCACTTGGGCACTTTTTTGTTGTTGGAATTTTTACCTGTCATGAGCCCCTGGAAGTGGAATCATTTTTATCCAAAACTACTTATCTTAAAATCTTACTACATTACAGGTAAAGGAAAACTCAAAAGTGAAGAAAATTGAGAGAAGAGATTCTATTTAAGTCTTTCTTCTGTGGTTAGATATTTCAAGAATATTAGTGTTACTCAGTTTTAAACAGCAGTTGTAGCAACGGAATAATTTATAGTGCAAATCTGCTCTTCATAGTCTATTTTCAAACCATATAAACAAGGAATTTCAGAGATATCTCACACTTACATAGATACCACATGCATCCAAATATATTCAAATGAATGTTATACAGATTAGTTATTGATACACTCTATCTTCAGGATATTTAGATCAACGAAACTGTAGAAAGACATTTAGAATCTGTGTGCCTATAAAGAGTAGCTACACCCTTTGCCCTTACAGTCTCAGATCTCAATGCCAAGCTGAAGACAGGAGCCCTAATGAGCTTTGCATAGCATTTGTAGCATCTCCTCATCCTACTCAAATCAAAACATTTTCCATTATCAAACAGGTAATCCTAGTGCCATTCCTCATAGAATGAGATGCAGACCAAAGAACTATGTGGCTACAGGCACCTTTCCAGTTTTAGACCATGGCAATTAACTATTTTTCTACCAGAGTTAGTCCTTCCACAATAGGGCTAAGCCACTCTAGTGATGCTATATATGGGGAAGCTCAAACTCGTGCTGTGCTTCTTCTGATCCAGTATCTTTCACAAGCAATGATTTTATGTATTATGTATTAAAAAAAATCCAAGCTTGTAAAATGTATCTTTACTCCCTTGGAGTGATTCTTACCATTCAAGAAATTAAATAGCTCAAATAATTTGTCAGCCTTTGAGAATTTTACTCACCCACTTGCCAAGTGTACTTTTTTTTAAATCATCATGGTAAAGGCCAGGAAAAGTTTTGTGCCTGGGTTGGTAAGGTTTCATGACTATTTTGCAAGGCTGATTCAAACAAACTAGTTATTAAGTCTGCATCCAAGCCATTGATTCATTTATCAGGATTTTCAAGCAAATTCCAAGTTGGTCCACAAGGCCCTTTTCTCTTTCAAGTCCCTCTAAGACCCACTTCTACAGAGACACATATAAGAGAAAAGTTAACCACAACATTGTTATTTATAAAATTAAACATATAAAACATTTTGCATCTCCATGCTTTGGTGAATAACTGCACAATCTGTTGAAGTCCTCCCATCTTTTGACTTTCCCCCAGTTTACTGCCCCCTTCTGCAGGATCATACCCCAGTCTGTAAACTCCTTTGGACAGATAGCATCCTTTTACTTGGACTGTGAAGAGTTTAGAACACTTTGGGGTTGTCAATTAAAAAAATGCCGTGTGCGCCAAGCTAGATGCCCAAAAAGCATGGTGAGGAAGTGTTTGATAATGGAAATGGGTATTAGCCCTGGGGACAGACCTCTATGCCAGTGAGACATGGCATTAGAATAAAAACTGACACACAATACATTAAATCTGAGAAGTAACATTACATTTAGTTAGTGCTGTTTCATCTGTGGTAACAAAGTCATCTTGCCCCACCAGTGTCCCTCGCTGACACAGGTAGAGGGACCCTTCCTGGCTTGCTCCAGCCATGGACTGGAGGGAGAGGCTGCATAGGGAGCTGGGTTCCACCAGGGACAATATTAGCAATGCCCAAGTTCCTCTTTCCACCACCTGCTCCCAGCAGGGGACCCAGGGGTGACCAGGGAGAGAGCAAAAGTAGAGTGGCTCTGGGGCTTCCCCTGCCCCAGGTCATTTGGGGACAGTGGGAGCACCCTTGAGTGGGTCCTCCCCACTCTTGCCATGTGCCTGCTCCCCGCCCAGCTACCCAGTGTCCCACGTGCTTTAGCCATGCCTAATCCCCATCCTTCACTTGAGGAAAGCAGTCACTGTACCTGGAAATCTCAGCAAGTACAGTTCATGCAGCAGAACTGGTGAACAAAATATCTGTGAATTTGGTCAAGAAATTACTCCTGCCGCCATTACCTCTTTTATGCCAAGAAGAATCAAGCCCTGCTCTCAACATCAAGTCACTAAACACAGAAGAGATACCCACATATTCAGCCGATTCTTTACAGCCAGACGTATGCAAAATCTGCATCACCAATAAAAATTTTATGATGCAGTACAACAGAATACAAGTAGGATTTGAATAACCTAGAGTATTACTAGAACTTCAGTCTAGGAGAAGGGATACATTTTAATTTCACTTCGCAATTTTGACAAAGTCAGTTAGAGTGGGTTCTCAGGAGTGACAGTAGAAACTTGAAAGCAAAGAAACCCCTTACATTTACACGTTTCCAGTGTTTTACTATAAATCTCTAGAATCCAAGATTTCATTTAAAGAAAGTCTAGTCCTTTTGGTTGCAAATACCTGCCCCCATGTATACCATTAATTTACATGGAGTATACCCTCAGTCAGGAGACAGTGTGATAGCAAAAAGAAGGGTGAACTTCAAGAATCAAATTAAATATCTTTAACAAATAATTAACACTATTTAAATTCAAAGTAATGTTAACCTTAATCTCTAAAGAGATTGGATATTTGGATTTAATTAGTTTATCCAGTGCTACTGAACATACAAAAATATACCCTGATGTAACTGCATGCAATATAAGAAAACAGGCAAGTTATGGCTAGGGGGAGCAAGTAAGAAGATCTTTATATCCCCTTGCCCTGGTCATTCATGGCCATCCAAAGGACAAGAAACTGTTCAAGATTCACTTATCTTAAAAAATACAGAGCTTTTGTACTTGAACTGGTTTCCTCTTACAATGCTCCTCTCCTCTATCACTTGCCCCAACACAAATACACAGTAAAATCCAAATCTCCAGTCCCTTACAAATCAATCTTAGTCATTTTTAAATCTTTTCTGAACAGTGTGGAGGCCATCCTGCCTTAAGAATACCCCTTACAACGTAAACTTCTTTAGAAAGCTGAATGCAAACAATCCTTAAGAAACCTGCCTTCAAAGAGGAAACCCATTAAAGTTTATTCTAACTTGAAAAACAAATACTTCTGACTACAGTCTAAATGAGGCCAACCTAACTTTCTACCACTGAACAATCAACAGTAATGGAGAGCCACAGATTAAAAACAAAACAAAACAAAACAAAACAACGGTTAAGGCCCATCAATGCTGATATGTTATTGCTTCAGTGCCTCCTTGCAGACTTGGGATTGAATTTATTAGATTTTAACTCAAATCAACCCTAACACACGCACAAATCCTTTTTGCACATCTGGGAAATAAACAGAGAAGCATAAATAGTGGGAGCTGAGAGACTGTTTAGACACAAAATGACCCCTGAAGACCAAGAAAAATCTCTAATAAAAGATATTGGATTTACCCAATTATCATGTTTGCCTATGTCCTTAGACCAACACAGCTACAACCTACACCCCTGAAGCCCTGATGAGCAGAACACCCCTTTCCCAAAGAGTAGCATTAGGAAAGGTAACCATCCTAGAGCGCCGCCATCATCTGCTGAGGTCATTCTCTACAGCCCTAGAGCAGAAATCCTGAAGGGTTAGGGCATGATCACCCAAACCCACCTCTGTCTCTAACATTCTGGGGTGTGTTCTCACCGAGAAGACAGCTGCCCAAAATGAAAGGTCATATTGCACCGCAGCAGCGAAAACCAACAATGGCCATTTTATAAATTAAAAGTTCAGAAAATTGGAGAAAAACAGCGCGATTAACTACACTGTAAAGCCCCAAATAGGAGAGAGTGCCTTTTCTATTTTGCATTCTAGTAGAGACAAATTTCATATGCTCACCTATTGCTCATCTCGATTTACAGGGAAGGAAAAACTTACATAACAACAAGCTTGATATAGAACCTCATCTACAGATTACAAAATTATTAACATCACTTTTTTAAGATGCTGAAATTGAAATGCAGGGACACAAATGACTCTTGCTGTCACATGGCAGCTGGGAACAGAACTCAGATCTCCTGACTTACAGTCCAACACCCTAATTGATGAACCACTTATTCTCTCTATTTATTATGTCAGTGGCAACTAAGGTATAGAATGGATTTTCACAGTGCCCCACATATTTTTGTGTTTATCCTAGTTGTGCCTACACAACTGATTCACAGTTCAGTAAATATCTACTTCAGTCAGCCTCTTTGTAATAAAAAAAATCACATAGGACAAACACACATTCATATAAAAGGTCAAGGAGCTCAAGGAAATCTGCACTTCAGTAATTCTGCATTCCCTGAATGTTATCATCCCTTGCCATCAACCATCATAGTGCCTATGCAGAAAGATCTGCCCACTGGCTAAATTATTTAAGTTTATGTTTGTTACTAAAGTTGCAGTAGGTGCCTGCTCCTCCATTTCCTTTTTCTCCACCTGTTCTAGATTTGTGTTCTACCCACAAGCAAATTGAGAAACCCAGGTTGATGAATTCCCATTCTACCAACTTTGCCTGGAAAGAGGCAAGTTACAACAAAATCCACACTGAAGCACTGGACAGATCAAGCAAATGCTTACTTAAAATAGCAAGTATAATATTACTCTTCTGGTAGTAAAAATGGACTAATAACAGGCCTGTGACCAAGAAATCCTGAAAATCAGTGAGAGTACATCTCCTAGTAATAAGCACTCATGGATCTGCAATTTATTCCTACACAGGTCCCCAATATATACCAGTACTGGTAACTCTCCTAAAGTACTGATAGAAGCTTTTTGGGATAAGCCCTTATTTTTGTTCTGTATTTGTACAGTGTCTAGCATAATGGGGCCCTGATCCACAGCTTGGGCTTTTAGGTGCTACAGTAGTACAAACAAAACCACTGCAAGTTACACCTTTCAATGGTCAAGCTATGTACAACTGGGAAAGATAGGCCATAACAAAGTGGGAAGCATCTGTATCAGACTGTGAACTCTATTTTGTATTGCAACTTCATTTCATAGTGTATGCTCCAATTAACCTTTTATTTAATTTAAAATGGGGGCTATGGCTGAGAGGCTACAAAGAAGCAATCCAGTACCATTAACTGCCAACTACAGGTCCGCTGCTATGGGACAATGGGTTCTAAGCAAAGGTCTTGCTGGAAGAAGAGACTGTAACTGGTTAACAGAACCTGAAGGAGTTTCCACAGAGGAAAGAAGCTATCTTTTCTGCCTTAAATTGGAAGATTAGACTGTATATAGGATAGACCAGTGGTTCCCAAACTGTCAGATTGCGCACCACCGATTTTAAAACAATACAACCTTAAGTACCACCAGCAAAGTTCTGTCATATAAAGTAATTATAATAAATCTGTTAACATGTACCACTGACAAGTTATCTGCGTACTACTGGTGGTACCCGTACCACAGATTGGGAACTGTTGGGATAGACAGATCCTCCTGCTTTTTCTGAAATGCTAACCAGACACCCAAAACTAAGATCAGTGATCTGGCTGTCAGGGCCAAGATACCTATGGGATTCAACAGTATGGTCCACTTGCCCATAGCCACTGAGTACTTAGCCAGTGTCAGTAGGATCAATCGGTACTGGACATAAATGAAAGCCTTCTAAAAATCAATTACAGTCTATTCCCTTCAAAGAGCTTGGATCAGGCCTGTTAAAACCCTGAAGAGGTCTCAATGCAGGGTCACTGCTGCTTCAATGAAAAGTCACCCTAAATATCATAATTTAAACTGCACTTCACACAGTGCAACATTTAGAGTCTGTTTCCCTGCTATCTGTACTCTCACTATTTTAAGATGGTTAGCTGCGTTAGTAAAAAAAATATTTAAGAGAAAAATTGTGTAACATCTTTAAACATTCCCAAGAACACAGGAAGGTGTGAATAATGCTAGAGCAAAAATAGAATTATAAAAATGATCAAGAGAAAAAATAGTTATTGTGAAAGATCTCTGCCTATTTGTCAGATGGATTAACAGTGCAACTGCTAAAGTTAACAGGAGACCATAAATCTACTGGTTTTTGTTTTTATGGACACACAACAAAAGCAAGAAAAAAACAAGCCCAGTATGCAACTGAAGTTTAGGGTGGGCCCATAAGAGACTGTTAAACAGTCGAATCCTCTTCATGATACTGGCAGCTCAAATTCATCTTTTTAGAACTCCATTTTTTGAATCGCTCTCTAACAGACAGACCTCGAGTGACCTTCGGCTCCAACATGCTACCCTTACTGGCTCTTTAAATTCCAGATGGAGAGACAGCTGCAGACCAACAGAGGCCACTCAAAAAACAAAAACAAAAAAAACACCCCCTAAACTGTTGCGGGTTGCACGTCCTCCTCCATTATGTTAATTATTTCCCTTTTATTTGGAGGGTGATTTTTTAACCGTTTTAGCCTTTAATAAGAATAAATGCCTTCATTATGTAGTATAAAGCTGTGAATTTTATATCCCCAAATTAAGGCAGCCATGTAATCCAATCCCCCTACCAATCCAGCAACCAGGTGACAGCCAGGAAACCAGATAATTACTTCTAAGCAATGAAAAAAGATAGGAGAGGGTTTGTAGGATTACCAGAGAAAATACATAATGTCAGAAAACAAGATGACTAACTTGAAGCAACACAGAACTTCCCACTCCTCGTCAAACAGAGTTCCACGTGGTGGTAGTATTTTTCTTTTTCTGTATGAGAGCACTACACATTTTCTCATGCAGACAATCCCATGTGGTTCAGGGGCTCATGCAGAGACACAGACACAAAATAAGAACATTATAGGAATGCATGTGTTCACCACTACAAAGGTGGCATTAACCACCTTATTTGTTTTGCAGGAAAGAAGACAGCAAAGTTTCTTCCCTCCTCTATCTACCTTCTTGCTTAAAGCTCCTCTTCTCTCAACCCAGAGAAACTGCTTTCCAATCCATAATGAGTAGAAACACACTTTCTAGTTAATTTTAATAAGGTGGACTTTTATAGAGAAGGGCCTTGCAGTCCATCATCTGTTACTTCCAGACAGACATTATGTAAAATAATTTTATAAGCTTTGAACATAATGTAACTGAACAAAGTTTTCCCTTAGTTTATAGGGAAATCTGCCATTTGAGAAGTGAAGTGTCCATCAGGGAACAGCGTTTATACCATTCTGGTCAAGTTCTGTCACTTAAAAAAAACAAAACAAAACAGGACAATATTTTTCCCTGAGCTAAAACCTTCAGCTCGCTTACTATTAAACTCTGCTTCTGAAAAATAAAAGCAAAAAAACCCTTCAATGTCTCCAAAAAGTTACTAAAAAAGCCTACCTTTATGGTTTGTGCCTTTAAGGGCAACAACGCATTAGTCACTAAAACTTACTAGTAAGGTTGTGGCTTTCATCCAGAAATACTCAAAACTTATAAGCTATCAGAACATTATGATCTGAGAACTAATCTTGCTGCCTAAGGGAACACAAATTGGGCAAATGGACTAATCTCGAGTAATCATCTTGTGGCAAATCTTCAACATAATTCCATTTAAGTATTACAAATGCAAAATTACACCATCTCCTCAAAATTAGTAACGTGTCACTTTATGCCACTTAGATGCATCTAATGAAGTGAGCTTCAGCTTATGAAAGCTTGTGCCATCTACTCTGGTTAGTCAAAGGTGCAAATCTACCCTGCCTTTAATTTTACTTCAGACTAACATAGCTCACCACATCTCTCAGCTCTATCAGAGAATGGAGAATTACTGTATGATCTTCTAAAACCTGTGCACCTAAACATTTCAGTGTTTTTATCTTCATATCTCCAATTATGCACGCGAGGAGCTCATTTGCAAAAATGCATTTTTAAAAAGTACATTTTATGCCAATGGTTTTCAACCCATGGACCATGGGCCCCTGGGGGTCTGTGGAGCACACCTAGGGGATCTGCGAAAGGCTGTAAAAATGGTGGCTCTGCTCAAAAGGAAAGCATCACCAGTGCTGCTGCTACTGCTCCAGCTCCCCCATGGCCAGAGGCCACCCAAGTGCCAGCAGCAGGCAGCCCAGTGCCAGCAGGCAGAGCCCATGCTGCGGCTGCTGCTCCAGTTCTCCCCGCAGGCAGAGGCCACCTGAGCACCAGCAGGCAGATGCAGCTGGGCAGCCCCGCCTCATCCTGCCGCTGCCGCTTCATGTAGGACTCAGTGACACTGCAGCGCCACAGCCCCTCTGCTCACTCAGCAATATCAATCTACAGACTGGAACAAGCATGTGTGAGTGTGGGAGACACAAAGACAGACAGACAAAGCAAGTGAGCAACTGCATAACAGTTTGGATGGAATTTCCATTGGGAAAACTGGCAGTGTCTTGAGGCACTTAAAGAAAGCTTTATTTGGAACAAAAAGAATTGCACATTTTTAATGAAAAGTTGGGTCCTACAAAATTGATAGGAGTCCACAAGAAAAAGTCTGGTGGGGTACAGGGATATATACTAGCTTAGTCTCTGCCCCAACTCTTCATCTTCACAGCACATCTAATATGTGTGAGGGTTTGACATGGCGCATCCCTGGGTGAATGGTTGCCTATGCATGCAGGGGACTGTACCTGATGGCTTTCATCAAGAAGCTTCAAGTCTGGGTTTCTCGAGTAAGAGAAAAGAACTTTGATGCAGCTGAAACCTTTGACAGCTTTCTGGCTGAAAACGAGCTGACACTAAACAGTGACGTGAAAAGCAAAATCAAGGACCACTTGCTGGAGCTCAAATCTCAGTTTTGCCAGCACTTTCCTGAGATGGGCAATGAGATTGAGCACATATGTAACACCTTTGCAACTCTAGGTTCTGGCTGCCAGCTAAAGAAGAACAATTACATGAGTTATCCTGTGAAGGGGGACTGAAACTCGAATTCAAGCAGAAACCTCTTGCCCGATTCTGACTGAAAATAAAAAAGGAGTACCCCAATCTGACAGATAAGGCCATTAAAGTCTTGATGCCATTCACCACCACATACTTATGTGAAAGCTATGTACTTATGTAAGATGGGTTTTCAGCCTCAGCATCAATAAAAATGAAATACTGAAACAAACTGGATGCTGAGGAAGATCCAATACTGAAATGGTCACCTATCCTAACAAACTTTCATGTGCTTTTTGCCAAGATACAAGCTCAATCATCTCATTAGAAATGACAAAATGCTGTGTTTACAAAATTGTATAATTGTTGTTTTAACACAATGCTTGCCAATAATTATCTACTTATATTCATTATACAAACAATAGATTTCCAGAGGTGTCTGTGCCTCCATTCAAAATTTAAGGGTCTGTGAATGCAAAAAGGTTGAAAACCACTGTTTTATGCACTAGACCAAGGCTGGATCTTTAAACATTTTATTTCTATTTAGGAATTTTACGCCTTTAAATATCCAAGGGTTAAGTATCCCAATACTATTCAAAATGGACATTGATTTTTATTTTATTTTTTTTGAAGAAAAATTGCCTAGCGGGGAACCAAATTTGCTGAGATTGTATTTTTTTAGAACAATTGTGTATGTCAACACAAAAATAATTTTCCATTCCTCCTCTCGTATAGCTCTCCCTGCCAGTTTCACTCACTCTCTGGGATCTCTGCATATTGTACATCTACATTTCACTTCTAAATAGAAGAGCAGAATATACTAGCTGGAAGAAAGAGTCAATCAAGAGGAGGAAGAGAACAAGGAAATGCCATTTTGATATCTAAGAAGCCAAAGTTAGGGAATAAAAAAAATGAAAGGACAAAGTGACAGAATAAAATCAAATGCATGAAAGCGAACACAAGTTCTTGAATATAGAGGTGCACTGATACATCAGTCCATATTATATCGGCACTGCTAAAAGGAAAATAGACATTATTGCCAACTGACTTCTTTTGGCTGATGTGGCCAATAATGTTGCTGATAAATGCTGCGTGCATGTGCACAGCTGCAGCATGCATGCAGCCAGCCCAGTAGCTTGGAGAGCAGCATCCGGCTGGTAAGTCTGCTGGCAGGGGAGGAAAGGGGGCAGATCAAGGCCCCTGCAGTGAGGGAGGGAGTAGGGCTGGAGCAGGGGTAGGTGCTGCCCAGTCAGGGGGTACAGGGGCAGTTCTCTCCACTGTATGCATCCCCAGAGGAATCACTGGGGGCATGTGCCCCCCCAATCTGTGCACAAGGCAAGGACAGGCTGCTGCTGCAGGCTGGGGCGGTGCCAAGCTTTTCCTGGAGGGCAAGGCTGGGCTGGGGCTGCACTCAGGGCCCCCCAACCCAGGCCCCCCACACGGGGAAAAGTCCAGTCTTGGCCCCAGCCCACAGCAGCAGCCCGCCCTTACCCTGCACACAGACTGTAGGGCCCATGCCCCCAGTGGCTCCTTTGGGGGTACATACTGCAATGGGAGAGGTCTCTGCATCCCAGCCGAGCAGCACCTATCTGCCCCTGCTCCAGCCCCACTACCTCCCTCACTGCAGGTGCCTTGATCTGCCCCTCACACCCCCTTTCCCCACCTCCCGATCTGCCCCCCATGCCCCTTCCTCCCAACAGACTTACCAGCTGGACACTGCTCTCCATGCTGCTGGGCTGCATTTGGGCAATCGGATTGGCATTGGCTGATATGGCTCATTAATAATCAGCCATTGGTATCAGCCCAAAAAATCTTTATCAGTGCACCCCTACACTAACACTATGAATTGTTTTAATTCATAGTGGTAGTGTATCATCCAGACAAATGGTCCCATGATCTGTACTACGACAGCCTTTATGGTGGGAGCAGGGGAGGGGTCAAAATCAGTTGTCAAGAAAAGTGTTAGGGCAGAATATAGGCAACAGGTTAAACCAATATTTCAGGTTGCTTGTCATAACAGGCAACTTCCCTTACCCCCCACCTCTACCCAACAACTCAGGCCTTGCATTTCTTTGGCTTGTTTATTTAAACTAGCTAACATTGTAATAAAATTCCGTGTATACATTAAATAATTTGGGTATTTTGATTTTACAGAGAAATGCAATGCAACAAGACTACTTGGTACCAGTGATACTAGGGACACGTACCCCACCTGGGGAACAGTGATCTTAACTATTACAGTACCACCTTTCGAGCTGGCTGCTATAGTTGAAAAATTCAGTTGCCTGACTACAATTAACCAGAACTGAGCGCCAAAACCTCCTAGATTTATTTATTTGTAATTTTTTTAGTCCCAACCACTTATGGTCAAGACAGAAAACTGGAGGATGCCAAGATGGAATTTAATTAACTTCAGATCTACTGTATATTCCAGACTCGCACAACATTAGTACTTGCCATTGGTTCAGAAGAGTAATGTAACACCCCCTCCTGAAAGTGCTTTGATCTGAGTGTCTCCCAGGCAAAGCAGCTCAATCCTGCAAAAAACAAAGACTGCAATATCCCCAGTGTAAAGGTGGGAATAAATAAGCATCACAAGCTTGCACATGGCATCATCCCTTTACTCCAAAGGATCTATGCTTTAAGTCAGTTGGGAATTTCAATTGATGAGGTGGAGGACAATCCAGACCTCTGGAGTGCTCAGTCACTCTTAATTCCTTTGCCAGCTCACAAGAGCACAGCTGGCATTTTTATGAATGTTACAAGCCATTCCTCTTAAGACTGGACAGAAAGAAACACCCTGTCAGAGATTCAACAAAAAATGCACTTTGTAAGATGCAGAAGCAATCTCTACCTAATTTAGTGGACTCGCTTACTGCTACTTCCACCCATGAATGGATTTCTTGAGACAGCTGCTCTTTAGACCATCTTTTTTTTAAATTGGGCTCTTGGATGCCATGTATTCATTTTAAAAGTTCTTTATTAAATTTATACTTTTGTATGGGCATCTTCTCTAAAGAGTATTCTCCCTTCAAAAAAAACAACAAAACAAAACCTGAAGCCACAACATGAAAGCTAATAATTATGCTTCTAGGTGACACTACAGAAAGTAGTGTGCAACTCCTTCCATGAATACAACTGTTTGATCCTTCCTCTCCCTGCTGCAGCCATTTGTTTTGCTGTGGAAACTTAAAGAAACCTTGAGAATGTTATCACTATGCTCATAGTTCATTGACTATGAACTGTGCTGTTCTTAAAAAATCCGACTGATGCTCCTCTGTGCAAGATGGGTAAATCTATGCCCAGACATTCTCAACCCAACTGTGGTATCTGGGATTCCCACAAAGCACCTGTGCTCAAACACAGGAAACTAGGGCTGGAAGGGATCTTATGAGGTCATCTAGTTCAACCTCTCATTCATGGTATGATCATCCCTGATGCCATGTCAGGGACACCTTGTTTTACTAATGCAAAAAAGCCTGGCAGCAGTTGAAATAAGCCCTAATTTACTAGAAAATGTTCCCATAAGCATTCACCAGGTATAAAGAATAAAGAAATCTGACATTTTACTGGGAAGCAAAGCAGATAGCAAGCTTGCAATAAATGCCCCCCAAAAAACCAAACTTTCTGAAGAGGGTTTTTTTTATTTGAAGACTCGTCTTCCAACTTATACTATCTTTTAAATTGCAAATATTTTAACATCTGCACTTTTACATGTCATAACAGAGATGCCATGCTGCTGTATTGAAAGACCTTGTCCTATGTCCTTACATATTCCAAATAAATGCTCATCGCACTTTTTTTTTTTAGTTCTTACAAAAAAGCAGCTGTGGCCCAAGTTTTTTTTCCATGGAGTGTTCAACAAAGAACTTCTTGTAGATGTCTAGTCACATTAAGAATAAGCAGAAAGGACAGATAAATTACTATCTTAAGATGTGAATGCCAAAAGACAGACTTAAAACTAAATGCAACTCAGGGAATTTTAAAATACAGCTGCTGCTAACCTTCACCTTATCCGTGGAGGTGCAGCTCATGGAAACCAGCATGCAATGCTCCATTTTGTTCCACAACAGCTCCTACAGAGAAAGACAGACAACAGCCCAATATTTCAAACAGCCCCTGCTCAGTCTCCCTTTTCCTATACAACAAGCATCATCCCTCTACTTAAAACCCACTTTTCAGCTATTCTTCCATCATTCATCTGCCTATGCAACCTCACCTGCTTAATGTGGATATTTGATCCAGACAGATCAGTTGCAAACTCTTCAGAGGAAGTCATCTGATGTCTTTACTATATGTTTAAAGCACTGTGAGGTCAAACTAAAATGTACAATACATTCTACAGTTATACGCCACTTATTTATTTTAAGGTGTCTTGACACAAGTCCTCCCAATCTTGTTTAAAAAAGCCTGCCACTCAAACATTACATACACATTTCACATAATACACTCCCCTAACATAGTTACAATACCCATTAAGCCTTAGTCCACAATTAATCAAAAATGCTGGTGCCACAAAGGTGGTCTAGCATAACAAGCCAAGCATAATATAAAGCCAGTAGCCGATATCCTCCAACTAAATTCTGTTTCATTTCTGGGACATTATCTTGATGATATAAAGTCTTTTCCTTGTTCAATACATGATCTGAAAGCTGGTTCATTATAAACATCCACAATAGCGTAAGTAAAAAATAACAGAGGAAAACCATTGTTTTCTATATTCTGAATTTTGCACACTAAGACATTACCCTATTACACACATATTTCAATTAAGCAACTGTGCTATTTCGCCTACCTACATACACTCTCTCCTTTTAGTTCTCTCTCTACTAGGTAGCTGTTTTGTCCCAAGTATAAAAATATATCTTAAGAAATAGCTCTAAGCACAACCAGGATGCAATCAGGCCATAGGATCAGCATAATCAGTGCAATCCAACAACTGCAAATTTTTAAGGGATTTTATTTCTTTGTTGGCAGTAAGCCAGCACTACATTTTTTGTTGTTTACTAACTCAAACTTCATTTATTCACTGTAAATTTATAGTGCATATTAACTTTGTAATTTCACCAATAATTGTTTTTTCCAGCAATAATATTATAAAAAAACCCAACATTACATCAAGTATTACATGAAACTGATATTTAAGTGAAAGGCAAATATAAGGGAGCTGTATAGATTAGCAAACTTAGAAAAATATTTTTTCCTCATCCTTTTGGAGAGGAACTTCTGAGGATCTGTCCTTTCCCCTTTTTAACCACAAGGTTGCTCCTTTCCCCCCTACTTTCCTCCCATTATATATTACCCAGCAGTCAGCCTGCCTTTCAACAGACTTGATTCATGTACACGATAAAAATATTTCTTTTAAACATTTTAGTTACAATCTTCCAAAGTGCTATAAACAATTAAATTATGATTTAAAAAATAACAAATACGTGGTCAAACACTTTAAGGAATACTTTCACTTAAAGGGACACCCAACTTTACCACATTTTCATCTCTATATATATTTACCACATTTATCATGCAAGCGAAATAAATCTTTTTTTCTTAGTTTATTTGTTCACGTGACAGTATTTTGAACATAATCAGTGGAACTATATTCCCTGAGTTGTCAATCATCTTCCCCTTTTGTCTGGATAAGTCTTTATAAACCAACAGAAAAGGGGGGATATATATTTGCATAAGACGCAAACAAAATGTAAAATGAAGGAAATCTGATGCGATTCACACGTTCTGTCTGAAACTATTTAAAACTATTTTTTCACTTGTCAAGACTTTAAGTTGGTGTTCCTTTAAGCTTAAAAATGCCAAATTCCTGAAGCAATATTCAGATCCATCCCTTCAGGTTTTTTTTGCTCATACGTCACCAAATGCAAGGCTCAACTCTTTCCATTCTATTCAGTACATATTATGAGGCATTTACCTCCAAAATTAATGGTGCTTGGGTGTCTCAGACTCATTGGGCAAGTTTCATGCAAAAGCCTCCAAAAATAATTCTCCTTGCAGATCGCCCACCTCAGCGATTATATTACACCTACTGTGTGAGGCCAAAGCCCGGACATAGGAGAAGGCTCATATCCTGCTGTACAAAACAAAGTATTAAAGACAAGAGATAAGAAATGTAATAAGGATCAATCTTACATTTATAAAGTACGTTTCAATGCAAAGGACTCCCAAAGCCCATTGCGAACCATACATACAGGCAGCACTACAGAAATGGAGCTACTGCTGGTATATAACCAAACATGCTTGTTGAACTGGCAACATTAAGACATTTTAGCAGGTTTATATTCTAAACAAAAAAAACTTAACCCTACTGGGGAATTATATGACATGATATGATGCACCTGAATTACCCAAGTTGGAATTCCACCAGGATACTAGGTTTAATGCTCCTATTCACATCCATGGGAATCTTTGGCCTTCTAAGTGGTTATAACTCTGTTTTAAGCCTCATACAAAATAAAACACCTTCCCCATGAGAGTGCCCTCTATGGCCATAATCCATTCCTGGTGAAGTTCCACCCATGACACTTCCTGATGCCCATGTTTTTCCCCTAGAACAGTTCCCACAAAATTACAGCCCCATATTAGATTACAAGATCTTGGGCAATCACATAGCACAAGGAGAAACAACCAGCAGCCACATCCCTGATGAAATGCATTCAGTGGGACAGGATTCAGACAGAGAGTCATTCAGGTTCATGGCAGCTAGTACTTGGATTTGAATTGTTTTGGGCAATGAAACCATGAGTCTATAATCAGTTTATTACATATTTAATTTGCCTAAGCTTCAAGAAATTTCTATTTTAGGCATGTAACTTCAACATAAGGAAACAGGGGTAAGCAAATCCAACATTTCCAAAAGCATCCAAAAAAATAAAAAGAAAAAGATAAAAGATTTTTCAGACAAATTCAGAGAGAAAAATTAATTGGCTTTTAAACTGTTGATCCAGTTGATAGCCTTATGGACTTCAAACTTTTTAACAGCAGCAGCTTAACATGCATACTAACCCACCACACCATACTGGACTACGTTTACCTTCCCTTATTAATGGAAAAAAAGACTTTAATGAGCTGATATAGATGGATTTAATGTTTCCCAAGGTAAAAATGACAATGACATCTGTATTGTTTTAAGAACATTTGCACTGAAATAGAAATGTATGTTTCAAGTATTTTCACATACTGACTGGTCATATCTCTGCCACTAAAGAGGATTTGGATGGTTGGCAAGTTATTTGGTTCTGGGTTGTTTTTGGGGGGGAGGGGAGGGGAACAGACCTGTTTACTAGAGGAAGTTTAATTTCTCTTCTATACTGGATTATTTTGTCTCCAACAGAAAGGACAGAAAGAGTCCTTTACACTTCTGTCAAATCCAAATTATCACCTGTCCCAATCTCCCATCTGAAACCTCACTCTAGGCTATGCACAAACAAACTGCAGTGAGAAAATATAAAGTTACCGTGGTTTAGTTTTTAACTTAGAGTGGGGTAAGAACACAGACAAAACTATCACCACGGAGCTTCTGACTCCCTGGGTTCTTTTAAATCACTAATTTATTTGTTTGTCCATATCCAGACTTTCCTACTGCTGATGACTAACATCGTAAGTGGGCTGATTGGTGACCGTTACTCCAGTAGCCTGAAGAAGACATGACCACAGGGTATAATGAGGCACTTCCAGTCTATATCAGCTTCTAGCAAGTCAAACCCCAACAACCAGATTTTGAATAAAGATCAGCATTTTTGGACCATTTAAAAAAAAAAAAAAAAAAAGAATAAATTTTCTCCAGAAGTAGAATCTCATTTTACTAACATTTTATTCCAATTTAAAGTATTACTGGTTTCAAACGTGAAGCACATATATAGCACGTATCAGAACAACCAGCAGCGGCTGCATGCTTTTTAGCTCAGTGCAGCAAGAATGTTAGTTTTCTATGCTACTACGCTTTTTTAGCATCACTATTCCATGTGCATTTGAAATACTGGGTCTTCGGAAGCAGACCCTAAGTTTTAGGCACAGTAGCATGCTTTAGGAAGCCAGCCATGAAAGAAGATTGCATAAAAGACTATGATAATGCAACATAATGGTTGAGATTCTTAAACAAACATCCAAAAGTATTACTCTTTTGTTCTCACAGCAATAGAAATGCCTTGCTTGGGCCTGAAGACTACTCAGCCTTATATCCTATTCACAACACAAGGAGAATGGGTGGCGAGGCCTACCACCAGACAAGGGCCAGAACTGCGGGACCTGAAGGTTCCTTGTCAGTTGAGCCAAGAAGGTCTGAAAAGCAGATGGTGAAAAATGGACACTAGGAAGCCAAGAAAAAAAAAGGAAAACAACAGGTTCAGAAACATCAGAGGGAGAGAACCCAAGCCACAAAAACTGGGAAGAAACAGCAAAGGAAGAAACAAGAACCTTCCCTGAGAAGGTAAGTGCAGATCCTGAGTTGCTTCTCTCCCCATGCTGAGAAACTGAAGTGTTTGACTCCTACCACAGCCATCCTTTTTTTATACTAAACACTTCTTTTTCTTCTATTAGGCTCCACTCCTTCCACCCTCCCCGTTAACACTTCTGTAGCTTAACTTTCAAAGATGTTGAGCATCCACCAGTACTAACATATCTGGGAAGTGAGACCACTAATGCTCCACTTCATCAATTTAGGCAGAAATCTGGGAAGAAGGCTGTTTCTTAACATTTCACACACTATGCTCATATAAACATTTTTTTAAGACATCAGCATTATTAGCCCAAGTATCCACAGCACTTGAACTTTCACCAGTATGTCCTGATGCGCCAGCTATCTTATATTTAAATATCCCTTAACCTAGACTTAAGCATCCAGGAGCGATGTTAGAAGCAATACTTGAGTTCTCTCAAGCTACCCAAAGTGAGGACAAGGCCTAATAGTCTGATGGCCTTAACTTACAGCTGGTATACTACATTCACAACAGGACTGAAACCATGCTAGCAACTTTAGAGGAATGTAAGCTTCAGGGGAAGAGATGTCACAT